TGCCAGTTTCCGATGTGTTGCATGTCATCAGTTAGCTAATTCCTAATAATGAAAGCCTACTTGGAATATTTTGGTTATGCAAAATGTGTACCGTGCAGCCTGAGAATTTTAGCAAAAACTGTATGATCTGTAAGTTGCAGACTGGCGCATAACTGGAAAATACCCCAACCCCTGTAAATTATCCTGGAAAAACAGAAGTTGTACGCCAGGTGAATGTCAACAAAGATGGCAGTGAGTACTGTTTGTCCCTTGTGGGTTGATTCCATTAGCTGGGATTCAGTTCGCACAGGCTGACAAATGAAGTTCGAACTGGGCCACCGATTCTACCTTTTTTTTAATGGCAGTTTCTCGGCTTCCAGTGCTGTCTTGATATTGAAATCATTTGATTTCTAGAAAGAACTTCCAAGTGATTGGGCTAAAAAGGCCAAATTCGCAATGGGCGCCATGTTCGGTTATATGACTTTTTCTCAGACACTGAATTCGTATGGAGACAACTTTCTGCCGCTCAAGTCCAGAGACCCGGGAATCGCGGAATCGCTGTCTCAAGAAGCACCTAGTCTTACTGCTGTGCCTATAACATATGGGGTGATGAGTCTCGTTGGTTTACATCAAAGGCAGCTGTTTGTAGTGAAACGTTCCCAAGACAACATTTGGCGATGATAAGACTAATTTTTGTATGTTCGCATTTGTCATCAAGCGGACTGTAGGCAACCTCACTGGCGGGACCGTTTTTACGCTCTGAAAGCGGGTTACTTTGTGAAGAGGAAATAGTAATATCAACAGCGTGATACATCGTACTAAGCAAAGTGCTCTGCAGCTTCGAAAAAAGAGAAAAGTGGCACTGATCATGAAATAGTCTTTAGTGGGGCAAACCAGAATCGCCGAAGTATGTGTGTGACAAATTAAGAACCTATATGCTAGAAGAAAACACTTAGTATTTAGCTTAGAATCCTTGAGGTGATTTCCTGAGCTACTTCCATGAAAAAACTCGTTTTATCAATCTCTCCTTGTAAAGAAGGGATCTTCAGGTGGGGGGACTTAAAAGTTTGATGCTCGTAATATTGGAGCAGTAGTAGACATGTATTCACAGTCTCTACTTGTCAATTCGCGAAGTTTAGAAATTATGAAGTTATATTTTTGTGACTCTTCGTGAATGGAGCCATCCACATGTAGCACGATGTGTACTGTTCTATCGTACTGACCTTAGTGACACTTCGTGCGTCACCATACCATGCTGCTGTCCAGTAATTTTCTTCATGCTGTGAACTAGACTTTAGCTTCTTTGTTCCATCCTAGAAGGTGCATCGACCAGATCAACGAACCCATCAAATTTTCTTCCCGGTATGCTTTTAACTTTCCCGGTCCGTTCTGTGGTCTGGTGACAACCTACGTCTAACCCACCATCGGAAAGTTTTCTTCTGTTCACAGAAGTATCTGGCATTTAGTGTCATCCTCCTTGTGTCGATCGATTTTGTCGTACCGCTCTAACATATGTTCTCCCCGGTCCATCCCTACTAGAAATCTTTTTGGTGTCTTGTTTACTAACGTGCCTTAGTGTGACACCATAGAATTTGGCCTCAGCGTTGTTTTTAGTTCGTCTCTAACCAATCGCGCATCCATCACTCAGTACCGGTAACAATTTAGATGACATGCTTCCGGCAGCATTCAGTTCACCAGGATGTGTCGAATTTCAGAGTCCTAGAAATTCTTTCCCAGCAGACCAAAAATAGTGGACTAGTTAAACTTAGTATTATTATTATTATTTTGCGTTTTATTCGTCGCTCCACATTAGTTCCGTGACATTGTTTTTCAGATAATTCTCTCCATTAATTTAATTCATGCCTCGATATACATGCTTTTTTCAATTCGGTCATAATATCGAATATGCAAAGTTACATGCACTTTAACAAAAAACCTGATTAAGATTAATTAAAATGGCCAACCCAACGCGAACAAAACCCCTCTTTCTTAAGTGATTGCATCTACTAGAAAACTTATCCAGTTTTAGTCGCCCCCGGGCAAATCACACACGCAGATATCAGACTATGCCAGTTTCTAGAGCTCCAAGCATTTCGAACACAATGTATATTCTTGTGTGAAAAAATGCTTCTACTTTGATGGCGTTTGAATTTCAAACCGCCGTCTGTTTCCAAGCTTCCCGCCATATTTGGAAATGAGTCTTCAGGTTTTTCAAGCCGAGCTAAACCCCATGATGGAGCTCAAGGTGATTATCTTGCTGCAAACTGTTGTTTATGTACGCGCGATGTTGAAATGCGGTGCATTAGATGGCTAGTAGTCCTCAGATGGCCAGGTATTACGACGGATTGGTTGGAGAGCAATTCAGCAGCAATGTGCATCGAGTTTGTCGGCTTGTTCACTAAGTTCACAGCACTTCAGCAAATGATCCTACTTAAGGACCTTGGCTTGCGCAGAATATTGGGTGAGACGGGTAAGAGGCTATATGCTCTCGGTTTTTTAGTCTTGGTTTTTTGCTTGCAATAGATTTTGATGACTGCTGTATAGCATATTGTTTAAACAACAGTCCACACGTCTGCTAGTTCCGTTATATTCATACTGGGTTTTTTTAAGTATGTATGCCTACTCGACCATAAGTGGCTCTGGTAGGAATTGTGGAGCCCCCTCAAATAACTCCGAGTTTGCTGGGATTTCTCTACATCTGCTGCATATGCTTTTGCTATTAATTCTTTCATTAGCTTTCAAAAGTGCGCTGTGCTTCATGATTATTTTGTGATTGCACCATTGTGCACACTAATCCGGGTGTTATTTCATTCGACTGCCTGCCCTGCATAATCTTAGTGCGCTTGTTCCATAGGATCCTGCAAACACAGTTCTCAGTTTTAATAACAGTGAGGTGATCTTTCTAATGCACAGGTTCCAAGCCTATGATGTTCCTTATGTGAGAAGCCACTTTTATGTCAACCACATTTAGGACTCTGTGGTTGGTTTGCGATGTATCTACTTCGCATGCAGCTCCACCTGTCCCAGTTTACTCCTCTCAGGCCGCTGCTCTTTTCATTTAATGCCTAATCTAGCCATCTGGATACAGACAATCTAGACCTTTTCCCAACTCAGTTAAGACTGTTGCTCTGTCGAGTTGTCCTGTGAGCAGATCGCTTCCTCGTCCAAACACCGACAAAAGCAGAATTAGCAAATAATGCCGGTCGACGTGTGGTTCCACTAGGTCTCTTGACATCCGATGCAGTTTTCCGTTGTTCTGTATTCCAATCCGTACAAGCAAGTTAGCGTGCTCAAACTGTACCTCATTTCTACGCAAAATTCATTGTGAGGATCCAAAAGTTTAGGTACTGGTATGACTCAGTGTCCCTCACCAGTTTGATCAAGCCAGACAAAAAGCCAATACATATTTGGCGCATGTCGTTAAGTCCTCCGAACAGAAATTTCGGTAGAATCGGAGAGATCTCTTGGATAATCTTTCTACTTGGACGGAAGTTCCCGGGATCAAAACAGAAAGATTCACATTCCAGCTTGTTTTCATGTCTCGACATGTGTCCACTCTAAAATTGCTTGATAAATTTATCATATCGGAAGCTTCTTATGAAGGTTATCAAAGTAGTGTTAGTCAAACTAGAAGACAAAGTTGGTTTAGCTATTTACAGATATGCCGATGTATACACATATACATGGCTCCCATCTTAGAATTCCAGCGAGCGAAGTAAATGTCCGAAGTCTAATATTTGCCGTGCTGGATACAGTGTCAAACGCAGTTGAGTTGTGCAGGCAACGTCCCAATCTGATGACTGTATTTGTTTCACTGTTCCGTAGAACAAACGATGCATTTTCGAAATTATTCAACAGATTATTCCTAGTCATTAAAAGTGTGGCTCCACCTACAGTTTTTGGACGTAAGTCTTTGGACATGCACAGGCGATAGAGGTATCTGGCAGTTAAAACCCAAAGATGTGGAGTTCGTGTTTGGATTCAAGCATCTCCATTTGAATGTTCAGTTCTGCTCCTAGCATATCTCGAGTTTTGCAACTCGAAAGCATTCACCTGAAAATTCCAAAAAAACAAGATCCGTAGTTTTCAGAAACATTGGAAAATCATGTCAGTCTAGAAGATTTCTGCAAAAAATTGACGGATCATTTACTGGGACAAATTAAGCGAGGTCCACCCCCTGCTTCTCCGTCGACTTTGAAACTCGCCTGAAGTGATATGTATTTACCCGGCCTGAAAAATCTTCTGTGCTGAGAATCAAACTTTGCCTAGCAATCAATCCATCAAAGGTTTTTCACCCAAACTAGATTCAGCACTACTCATTTCAGCAACATATTCACCGGCCCATCTAATTTGGCTTCTACACTGGCTTTTCAGGTGACAACTGTTAAAACTGGAGAGACGGGTGGCTTCAGTTATTATTGTCCTCTTATTTTTTACAGGTAGTCGGGTACTAGGTGGACGAACACTTGGCTATACAGCTTTCAATTCTTCCATAATAGAGCATAAGTTTGCAACTAACTGCTAATTATACAACTGTGAGATTTTGTTATAAGTTGTTTTCAATAACCAGTTTTTGCATACAAGTCCGCCATTTTTTATCCATTATTTCGATAGTTGTATAGGTCTCGTCTCAGGATACTCGACTAGCTTAGAATGCCTGACTAATTGGAAAAATATCCGTGTTTTAAATTCTATATTTACCAAGTTTTTTTCCTCGATATTCAGTTGGTACTCGCTTTTAATCAACACTGAGGCCAAACGGCAACTAAAATTCGGATTCCATGATGACCGTAGCTCGCCGTCAGCCATTTACCCATAAAACCGGGCCACTACCCAGGCCGGACACTGTACGTACAAACTCGCCAATGGCAAATGAGAACAAGATCGGGCTTCAGGCCGTGTGACCTTGTAGCCATCTGTGTGCGTACGCTTTCGCCCAACCACAATGAAGCTGCCGGTGTGGGAAACCATTGATCATGTGTTGCTGTTCATCGTGGCCAGACAGACCAGTTTTCGCTGCACGCTCGGCCCCTATCTGGTGCCAGAATAAAGCTGTCATTATGTGTTACCAGTTTTGATCACCATGTTGTTTGTCTGGTGGTTCCTATTGCACCATGCGTCCATTTGTGCACTCGCCGACCTGACTCCATCCGAGATTTTTCCGCATCCCATCAATTTGTCAAAATCGGATTGGAAATGTCCTTCGGACAGACCAGCCACGATTACCACTGTTGGAACGTTTTGTGGTATACGGGAGGTGGTTCATTGGCCGGATGGAATGGCTTCCAAGGTGGATATATACTATGGTGGGTAGATTAGCTTTTGGTTCGTGAATATGCATACCTTCCATAAGCTGATAGAAAAAGTTGACAAACGATAACGCTGCTGTCACATTGGTACCATTCGTCATCCCCTTTTATGTTTTCCCATGAAGATCTCGTGATTTCCTGCACGGTATTTTACATTATAACTATAACATTACAACTAGAGCGTCCGAAAAACGTAAAGCTATGAGTTGTAACAATTCGAAGAAATGCCCAGGACTGTACCAGTTAAAACAAGTCCTCATAAGTCCCTTCATAGAAGAAAACAGCGTGATTAAAGTTTGAAGTCAGTATTACCCTTATTAGAGAGGGCACACCAGGGCTAGGGTCAGTTCTCCACAGTACCTTTGAAAGGATATCCACGCACTGCTAAAAGGATTACATGGAATGATCTCAAGGAGCCTGTTTCTTTCTCTAAAAGGGACATGAAGTAAAGGTGTTGTACCAGGTTTGCACTAGGACAATAGGTAGTTACCCGACTCCTCAGACCATGGTCGGTTTCCCTTCAAACGATGTTTGGAGGCTTCCATACATTCGTTTCAGTTATGTAGTTTTTTGGACTAACTTTGTTAAAGGTAAGTCATAATGCTACTTAATACTCGAAAAGTACTTTGAACATGAAAGCTATGTTTTTTCAGTGAGGGGGTCCGTGTCCTCCGGGAGGAGAATCATGTAGGGGAAGATACCTTGGATGTATTATACATACGAAATGCCCGAAGATGTGGAAAACACTGACTGAATAAAGTACAGATGCAGATGGGGCTAAATAGAGGATCATCTCAATCTCCATCAGAAAAGTGGTAATGTACTATCCTGTCCTGTGGGCCGGATAGTATTCTGTTGCGTATACCTGAGTTTAAACATGAACCCAAGCTGCTATGTTATGAATATTGGGTTGAGTGGAGAGTTAGGTGTTTGATGGACTAATTGCTTTCACTGTTTTACTATTGGACATCTTAGTTTATAGTTAGCCATCAATACGTGACCGTGTGACGTGTTTCCCGCGAGTGGGGGATGCGTAGCGCTATATCCCGCCCAAGTGCCAGTCAATCACCGTGCTGATCAACCGCTCATGGCCGGACGACTAGGTCGAAATTTCATGGAGTTTTATGAAATGCGCAATGCTGATGATTTCAGATGTGGATAAAACAACTGTTCAGTGCTTCTAAATTTTTTAGAATAGATAGGCTTCACTTATGTGACCAAATCTCAAGCGAAACTTTGTCTACAGTTACATTGTTGATGACTGCACAGCGAGTAGATATTGTCAAAACTGTCCGACGTTTTGACCACCAAGAGTGATCTTTACCGAGTAGCGATAACTAGCGTTGATGGAAATAACATCATTCTATTACTGTACTTTATAATAGTCCCTGAATGTTGCTAATATTGCGAAATTGAGAAGAATCAGCTCGAGAAATCGTCGGCGAACTCTCACATTTTGTCCAAAAAGAAGCACTGCTTTCGTAACTTCTGCTTGGACCGAGTTTTTGGCCCCCCACCGTATAATCACTGGTGTTTTGAGGGGCTGTCTCCCTCTAGAGGAACCACTCCCATGTCGCCTGTGTTCGTGAGGGTGAAGTTTATTTCTCTTGCGACCGGGTTTACCTGTTTGTTCGGATTTCTTTTCTGCCCATTCAAATCTTCCGCCGAAAAGGGGGGCTTGGTAAAGATTGTACGTCTTTTAATCTTAATTGCACCCAAAAATGACCACTGCTGATCGTCGGTGCTTTTCTGATCTTTTCTAACATCCATGTTTTAAGATGCCTGGAAGAAAATTCTGTTCTTTCGAATGAAACTGATCCTCTATCCACAATAATCGTTATCCAGTTTTGAGATTTTTTTATACCGAAATATGAGATTTCATCAATAAATGCCAATTTACTTCAGCGCAATTTTTACGTGGAGACCATCAGTACAAACCATGAACCGTGCCCGTCATGATAAACACTCATTGATAGATAAACGAAACTATGCGCCCGGTAATTTTTGTATCTTTTGTGGCTAAATCAGACTTTTTTTAGTATCCACACTTAAATATGTCAAGTGGTATAACACCACGTCTCCTCAAGACTGTCCTGAGAACTGAAATTCTTCCGGATAGGTTGTCATAGTACCCAACGTGTAAATTGTAAATCAGAGCCCGATTAATATGACCAAAACACACCTTGGCGACTGAGGGGTAGAAAAATTGCTTATCAGTTGTCATGGTGTCCGTAACCCAGCCAAGCTGTGGCTAATCCGTGCTTTAGTTGTATGCGTTCACCAAAAACGAGTGATGGTGATACCACGGTAATCAGTGATCGATTCAACGGTGCCTAATCAAAGCTCTCCTATGTTCAGGAGCAGAATACAGAACGCGTGAAGACCCCCTTACTTTTAGACTACACAGACCACACAATACTGTTACACAAGTCTAGGTTAGAGGCAAATATGTACAAAAGCTAGAAAAGGGAGCTGGTTGAACACCAAGTTGCTTGGTAAGATTGTTGTAATCAATGGGGAATATCGCAAGTGGAAGATTTATATTCGTCTCGTGTTAATCCAAACTCAGTTTAGAAATGAATTTTTGAGCAACATATAGACTTAACTCTTGCCACACGTTTGTACCAATAAACTATCACTTACTGGGACGGATGCTGTTGAAGAGGTGTTTGGTATTTCAGATTTAGTTGGTCTCCATTGGTATGTCCACGCATGCTGTGTCCCCGAAATTTGTCTCCGCGTCAAATCCACTGCTCGTAAGTATCCCTGGCTCACGAAAGCTTTGTCTTGTGGGTGTTTTGCTAAGTCTCTCAACGGCCAATAAAGCACGGTGTTACCATTTGATCATCAGTACGGAGGATATGGCAAATCCCTGCTCGAATTTTGGGCCCACTGACGTTTTGAATACGGTATATTGGTTCAACAAATCGGATATTAGCTTCTCAGATAAACTCTCTACAATGTCTGGGAGTGTGCTTGCAGGCAACAAATCCTATGATGGTAAGCTGACGGTAAAAATTGTCTAGACGTAGTGCGGCGTCCCTCTTTCCTACAGTCACCTCTATAACACGTCCCACCCATCCTTTTTAGGCGGGATATATAGTTTACAACCCTGTGTGTAGGCTTCCGTTTAAAAAAAGATAATGCAATACTCAGGTTGCTGATGATTCTCTTGTGATCGAACGATAGAGCATCTAATTGACAAGTAGAAGGTCGCAGGCTTGAATCTATTTAGAAATTCATTAGGCATATACTGCTGATGACTCCCATCAAGGAGAAGATAGCTGTACGAAGATTCTCGAATTTTCTGCTATGACTGACCTCAATCACAGGATGGGGTATCAACTTCAAAGTGCGGGAGACGAAACGTAAGCCACTCATGGAAAGGCCGTGAAGTGAAGAACTTCCATCTTAGTCAGCAGGTGGGAGTTCTAGACACACTGTGGGTTGCCGTAACTCCAAGGCGTCCTTATTGCGGTCTGCCGATTTCGTGTCTCTGCATTTCCATGTGATACATAACCCACAGTGACGATTTTGGGCTTCTACATTGTCTCATCGATCCTAACTTGAGGACAATTCATCATTCAAGTAAGGTGTGAATAGGAGCCTGTCACTATTGGATATTCCTAATTCCTGTTGCTGAAGCTCGCTAATTTTGACCTTCAGGAATCCGCTACGGTCAACCACCAGTGGGAAGACTTCGATTCCGAAAGCCAGTCCCACCTCCTGCCGAGCCTGACAAAGTGTTCTCTGCCAATGAACTTCAGGCCACCTGTCCACAGCCACGTGATACTCTGTTCCAGGTAATGTACATCTCTTTCGAATGATACACTCTTGGAAAAAGTTTGATCACGCCAGTGCACAACGTCCAGCTGAGCTCGTAAAACTCATGCCTTCACATTACCTGTCTAAAAGTCGTTCACTTGCCACAAGAAGTTTATGTAGTCGAAAGAAGGAAAGTGGGCTAGTCTTTGGATAATATTCTCTTAAAAGAAGCCCGCCTCCCTTCTGTGTAGTGCCCTTTTTAAGTGAATGGGTCTTGAGATAGTCTAATCTGACACCCGCCTAAGTCGTCCTATTTTCTACGCTCAAACTCATTTGTGGCACCAGTGTGCAAGGTCAGATCACGTACAAGGTCAAAGAAACGTGAGCTAGTGCTATACATCAATAGCAGCCTGGTGGCTGATTAATTTCATTCGTCAGTGAACACAACCTAACGTGTGCAAAGCAAGATCGGATTCGGCTACCTTACATACAACGCACAATATCTACATCAAGTCGACATCTTCTGCGAAAGCTAAAGGCATGATTACGGGTTACATGTATGAACATGAGTGACTGATTCCTAAAAACACAGAAGCTGAAAGACTGGATGGAACCTTGCCATTTAGAGGGTAGCTTGCTCAATTTATGATAATATTTGACTTGCTACACAGGAATTCATAAAACTCCATTTCATTTCTAGGATGTCTTCGTCGAAACATTCCATTTAAAAGAGTGTTCGCGATGTGGCCGCTTTGTATATGCGCTTCTAGTTAACGGACTGTCGCTTTGGTAAATCGATTTGCTGCAATGGTGGACGAAATCTGGTGAGGAAGGTCAATGCCTTAGAATAATCATATCGAAAATGTGGCCACAAACTGAGTGCCATGGTGGACTTTCCACTGGCATCCTAGTTCTGTGTAAATGCATCGGAATACGGAGTCTGGCTCTAGAACCAACCCGTAGAAATGGGTCAGTGAAATGAACAGAGGTTCGTGTTGCGAGCGACTTTCTGTTCAGCTGATCTCTTTATCGACAGCAAGAATGATATGGTAATTTTGCATGGTAATTTAGTCAGGAGCATAGCACTTTGACGAGAGCTAATCACCTTCCGACACTCAAAGTATGACGAAAGACTATCGTTTTTTTAAGTGTATGAGCATTGCACACACTGTTATTGACCGATTTAACAAACTGTCTTTTTGGGAGCCTCTCACTACTTCCACTCGTAACCCCACTTTAGTCGCCACATTTCAAGGTGGCTTCTGGTAGAGGTTGACACAAATTTTATGGAAAGAATATGTTTATTAGTGTTTATGCTCTGAACTCTACCCGATACTTGAGAAAATATTCCTGGAGGCCACCACAACGCCTACCTAATTGCGGCGAAATCTAAAGGGTTGTCTTTAGTGGATTATTACTGAGTAAGCGTTCCGATGCTTGTTCCATTTTACTCGATGAATTCTTTCTGACACCTTTTTACCCTGAGCACACGTCAATTACTAAGACCGCCTCTACCTCACGAGCTTCCTTGGGAATAATCTGTCATCCACCAAAACCACCATTTATTGCAATAACGTTAGGCTATTTTTTGTTAGATTTCCATGTGACACCAATGCCCCCCGTGATATCTCGCATTCATCACCGAGTAATTTGCGCGAGTTTTTGACGAATCATGTCGATTATATTTTAATTATTTACATCTGATACATTTGTAAATCTATATGCTGCATGTTCATCTCTATAAACCTTTACTTGGCTTGACCTGAGTGGATCTGATCCCATCTGAATCCGTCCAAGTGGTTTCAGTAAGGACCAGCTGCATCGCGTAGTAGGGGTTTTCGAGAACAGGGAAACTTGCAAGCTCTCTTGGAACGTGAGTGATTTATTTCAAAATGGGTGTGGCGAAATAACGTTCCCTACTATGACGAGGCGAGTCTGAATCGCTTCCATCCTTTTGCGCGTGAATTTTTGAAGTGTGTTCAGACGGACAACAGCTGAGCTACCTAATCGATCACTTGCAGATTTCAGACAGGCTTTTTAAACTTGCACTTTTTATCCTCTCAGGAAAAGCCCGTCAGCTAATTAGCACTCATGAGTCTCATATTCTTAAATAAATAAATTGTACCCTAGAAATATTCTACCCCAGGCAACGCTGCTATTAAGTCTTGATAGAACAATCTTCCTATGATGTTTCGTTGGCGTGAGTTACTACTTATTAGGTCGATGAAACCTCTTCGACATCCTACGACCGCTTTCACCCCTCTTATGGCTCACCAGTTAGGCTCCAGGTCAGTCACTCGTCAAAAACAAAGTAGTATGTAGATGAATCCATAAGTCGAATACCCATGAGGTTTTTGAAAACTCAGATGAAAAGCTTATGAGTAGTATGTTGTACCTAGGGAAATGCTACGAATTGTCGAATTTCGTGCCAGGTGAGACGTAGGGCAACTTTTTTCAGCTTACTCAGTTGAAGAATATCATGGAGGACAGGTTCAGTTGTGCCTACCGGTAACATCAGTACAATCTGCAAATCACTACATTTAGCAAATTAGTTTTAGCCTCATTAATGTTCACCCAGCCAACTGGACAAGGCGCACGGTAAAATCAAGGTAGCAACTGTTCGCTTTATTGCTTGTCCGCGTTCCAGGAATGTCCGGCAGCGCGTATGTGGCAACCAAACACACTGATGTCGGAGGACTGCCTCTTCTTAAATATCTGGGTCCCCAGTCACACACCGAGTGAGATGAACAGCAACGAAGAAAAGTTGGCCGTCATGGTGAGTCTCGGAAAACACACTATCATATCATTTTTGATTCAGTAAGCTGAGGGTATGAAATTTTAATAATGGGGCCTTTTTTACCCGGCTGCTAATTATTGTCTATGTAAATTGCAGCATAAATAAAAAACGGTCATATCAGATTACAGTGACTGGCGAGTACTGCTCAGTTTATCGATCAACTAATTATACAAACGGCGGTAACCAAAGAAGTTTGAAAAGAACTTAGTCTAAACAGAATCTTGGCAAGTACAAACGAAATGAATGATTTTCTCTCCTAAGTAAGCTACTTCTCACTATTCAGTAATTCCCTGGTGGGATTTGGGTTTGTAAAACTATACACACCTGTAGGATATCTTGAACTTCAAATTATTTTGGACCACAACACGAAGGGTTACTACGTTTGTTGCTAATTTAAACACCATTTTATTGGCTTTGGAACAAATCCCGTCACATCACTTTCAACGGTATTTCCCAACCCGATCTAATACTGTCCGAGCGGAAATGAAATGAGTCAGAAGTGAGAAGCGTAAACATGCACCGTGTGGTGATTGCTAGTTCGTTTGTGTATACTGATCTGTGGAACAGGATCAATTAACTTCGATTCTCTTGCATCAGAAAATCGTGTTTCATCGCTCCAAGGCTTGGTAGGAAGGATCCAAGTCTCTACCTTGTCCTTGACATGATCGTTCATGCAATCACATCGTTCATGATAGGTGGTCATGTAACCTTGGGCGTAGCATTACCTACGGATTGCGAAAATGCAGCCACAATGACGGAAGTCTCCGTACTAATACTTGATCAATCAGTTAGACATGTGATTTCAGAAATCCTTCATTTGGATATATAGCCATGTTTGGTCACGTGACGTAAACCATCTCGCAAACGAGTTGAATCCAAGTTCCGGCTACCTAACAATATACGCCCTAGATCAGACTGGCACACGACCTTGTTGTAATCAACTAGGCACTAGGTATCTGCATTTGCTTCATTTTATGTTACCCGCAATCAACGTTTCTTGCAAGATAAATACCGAGATTCTCCATGAAGAATCCCACTCACAAGTTGAAATATTGCAGTGGGTGTTGTCCTGAAGGGGCTTCAGTTGAATATTAGGGCCAGCTGTCGTTTTCTACATCAGAAAAGATCGAGATAATTTCAGGTACCTGTTTGGGCAGATAATGCAGCCAGGAGTTGAATTTTCCCCTCAGTGCTTAGCAGTCTACTCATAGCAATCGAGGCCGGGTTAGATATTTATCCCCACATCTGGTTTGCTGCTTGGAGTCCCTGTATTAGATGAGTATCAAACTACCGATTACAAAAACAGTGGCATTCTGCAATACCAAACGTTACCAGAGCCACTCGGAATTGTTTGCAAATTTCGCCAGCATTTCATCTGATTATCACACCATCCCTTGGAAAAGTTCCTGATTGGACACAATTAGCTAGTTTTAACTGCTTTAGTTCCTTCTTTCGAGATCATTCCTAACCCTCCATGTGAGTTTCAGTTCACCATGCAGACAGAGTTAGCTCAGGGGGGATTTTAGTTCTACTCTGTTAGTAATCGGTATCCACTACGTGGCTCTTGCATTGGCAAAGATGCACCGTAAACATGGTGTTTATCTAATTCCGTGAACCATTAAGGCCGCACAAACCCTTAGGTTGAGTTCCCTAATCGCATTTGACTTCAGTGGACTGAGGGAGCTTGGCTGCCATATTGGGGGTCCGCGACAGAGTTGATTTATCCAGAAGAGACGATTTTTAGAAAAAAACTGGTGTAATCTGAGAGGCATCACAACGAAACTCAAACTCTTTGTGTACTTTAGTGGGGAAGGGTGAATTCACACGAGCATTGGCTGGGCTGGAGTTTCCGTGAGTAGCCCACACAATGGCCGAGTGCCATCTGGTTGGCAGCGACAGGTGTACTAATGCGCGATGAAACTGACACTGTCACATCCAGCCTCGCTGGTCGCGCATATTACACTGAGGAATGCTTCATGATGTCGAGACAGCGCCCGTTAGCGCTGACATCCATGGACACAGAGATGTGATTGGAGCTTGTTTCCTTTTTATCTCTACGTATCAGTTTTGGGCTAACTGGTAGTCGAAGGTAATAACCACAACATGTTGTCTGGGTCATTGCCTTTCTCCATCTAAGACCTACTGAGGCATGGCTGCTGATATTCACACGTTCGTTCTACAATCATCTTCACCCGTTGTTCCCGTCAATAAAACATTGTCTCTATCCATTCAGCACTGAACATAGATGCCTGGAAACTATTCCACAGGTTCTGTGCTATCGTTGACAGTTTTAGTCTCATGTGTTCATGTTTGACAATGTTGAAGCGATACGTCTGTGACCACGTTCAACAGTTACGTACCAGGACAGCTACCTTTCGTAAGCGACACAATCATGGCCTATCGTCCCCAAAGGGGGACGATTGCGGTTCGGTGGGATATTGCGATTCCGCTTGCAAGAAAATATTCGAAATGTAGACGTCATCCTCTAGGAGACATTTTATTAGGCACGAAATTTGTTTGTATTGCAATTTTCCTCTGTAAGACGAACCGAAGAAGAGAAGTTCGGATCCAAAAAAACAGCTGATTTACTTCTCAAGACAACGCCACAACAGATGTTCCCTGTGCGTTCTTCCAAAATCTCTGTTTGACTGTTTAGTAGGGTGGCTGATGCCGTAAGGATTGTAGACACACCATACAGTTGCATCAACTAGTGTCGCCTGCATTTTATTCTGGCAGGACGTTAACAAAGCTATTGAGCACTACTATTTAGAGTATGTCAGAACACAGGATAAAGAGCACTGATATTAGAACATGGAAAGTATCAGGATGTCATAACCCATCGTCTGTCCCAGTGATCCTTTGTTTTCACAGCGATTTATCCATATGGCATGATGGTTTTTTGTTTGTATTAGCGTAAATGCATGGCCCAGTGCCTCGTCACTTAATTTCAGTATGACTCATATGATGTTACTCAGGGCTATCTATCCTGTACCAAGTACAGGCTCCACACTAAACGAAATATCACATTAAAAACTTGAGAAAACTGCCTGAACCTTTGGAGTACAGTCATAGTTACATTCGCTTTGTGTAAAACGTGTGATAAGGCATATAACATTCAACTGTTCAACAAATTAGCGCTCCAGTCGAGGAGAAAGCATCCGTACGTCATTTACTTCCTCCCTTTAACCATGAATATCGGGAAACTCTACTTCGTACATTTGACAAATATCATTGATTGCTCAAGAGGTCTCTCTCTTAGGAGATCACTGTGTATCCTTGCGTATTACCAAACTTTTAACTGTAACTTTCATGGCCCTAAGAGTACCCACGATCTCTCTTTCGTTTTATCTGTGAGCTATGGATATACGGCGGGAGTTTCTATACGGGTACTTCAACACTCAGCGTCTACGACGGACGTTTTCTCGCTGCTCGGCAAAATGTGATTGTGGCTTCTCTAAATTATCGTGTTGGTCCGTTCGGATTTCTGTTCACTGATCAAGCAGAGGTAGGTGCTGTTTTTTTACAACCAGTTATCGAGTACTTTCTAAATCCTAGGAAGCTAAAGATTCTGCTTGGCGGTGTGTGTGGGTATCGTCCAAGGGTATAATTTCGAGAGTTTTTTTCATGGGTCCACACTGGATATATTTGAGCTCTCTAATCTCACCTGCATCCACTGATTTGTAAGTTACTCTATACTGAGAGCTGATTTAGCATTTGTTCATCATACGTGACTCCGAAAACATTATTTTTTTGGTCATTTGCAACCTGAGAAAACGGACAACTGCTGTTCGTTTTTCACAATCACAAGATAATTTGTGCACATATCTCATCTACAACAAATAGACCGGTCAGCTTATGAGTAGCACTTGACGGCAATTGTATTTCCTGACAAATTTCATGGAATCGTTAGGCCAAGAGATTCCTTCAATGTTGGTAGTGTGAGGAGATTTGAGATTTTTGTGGAGATTTCGTCCCGCAAGTGAAGCCAATCTATGCTGAAAAGCCGAGAAACACTGTACAGCTGTTTCATCCTTATTGGGAATCATCAGCAGTGCGCATCTCACGAAACTCCGGAGAGTCTCGAACCCGCGACCTCCTGGATAATTGTTGCTCGAGGAGCCAGTCAACACGTGTGACCGCGTGATGTGGATCCCGTGATTGAAGGATGAGCGGCGATATATCCTGTTTAAGTGCGAGTTAATCACACTGCTGATCAGCCACTCGTGGCCGAACGGTTAAGTGTTCAAACTACTAGCCAGGAGGTCGCGNAGTGCTTCATGGCTTTTCAGCATAGATTGGCTTCACTTGCAGGACGAAATCTCTACAAAAAATTCCTTCAATGTACTTTCGAGACTAGCAAAAATCAAGACCTATGTCAAGAGAGGTTAAAAGTCTGATTAGAATATATACTTTTCCCCAGTAATGTTTTTGATTACAGGTTAACTGTCAGCAGCTGCTCTGATAAAAGCGCTTTTGAGCAACCGCGATGATGAATCACACCAGTTTAAAGGAAACAAGAATTCTTGTGGCAGTTCTGTTCTACACACACTCACTGTCTACACCCTATCTACCTTAAGATTCCTTGGATAGCAATCACAAAGCAGGTGGAGTTTAGGTTCTGGGATGAAGCAAGAGGTTTCACTGTCTTCCTGTGAATACTTAGACAGGTTATGATTTCGTACGTAATCACTTATATGTCTTAGATAACAGCAACAGCGGTTCACAAAAAGCACTAGCTTGTTATTTAAATAACTAGAATTGCATAATCGACAACGAGATTTACGCTCAAAAAGCTGTCAGCTAACAATGAAAAATACTAATGATTCTGCTTGAGCTGCTCCAAACGATAAAGCATTATTTATAGATTTGTCTACCTAGAATTCCGGGTTATCCGAACCAGCGACGCGTGACACTGTCCAGTTTCGTCTTGCTGGTCCAAATCAATAATTCAAAAAGATGTGACTGAGTCTGCAGACTGCAAGGAGAGACACTCTTCGAGTGTCTGAACATAGTTCAAGGTCTGATAGAATAAACAACTCTCCCTAGCCTCCTAATCTGCTGGTTTACAGCAGCATGCAGACCATGTAATATGGATACAGACAGATTATAATGGATATTTCTCCATTCATAAAAATCAGCCAAGCATGAGTGATCGGCCTGGGACATTACAAACCAGTGCAAACAACTCAGTCTACACCAATGTTCGCAACTAGTCATGTGGGCGGAACACAATTTATGCGCAGAAAAATCAAAACACACGGTCAAGTTAAAATATTTGTACCCTAAAGTCCCTGAGGTAAACTGTTCAATTCACTGGATGGTCTGGAGGTAGATCTTGAGGGCGCTCGGTCAAAATGCACTGGACAATTTTTTGTCCAGTAACAGTTAAAGCAAATAAGTCCAACGGGTTTATCGGCAGTCAATCATGCAAGCTACCGCGCCTCCTCGCTCACAGTTTTGTCAAAACCTGATTTCCCCTCTATCACTCTGTCTCCTACCAGGTCCCCGGAAATATGGGTCTGTGGGATCAACGTCTCGCGATGAAATGGGTAAAAGACCATATAGGCAGCTTTGGAGGGGATCCGGAACGCATCACGCTGTTCGGTGAATCAGCCGGTGCAGTCAGCGTCAGTGCGCACCTGCTCAGTCCCTGGTCTCATGCATTCTTCACGAATGCGGTGATGCAGTCGGGATCCATACTTGGCAACTGGGCAGTTTCAAATGCTGTACGAGCGTTGGAACAGACGAACAAGTGAGAAATATACAATATTATGGTTCCAAGCTATACGTTGTACTGTGTGCGAACCAATCATCCGTCGTGATGTAGTCAGCTTAAAAGACGGTAAGGTTTTTGTTTCAGAGAGCAAGGAGAACTTCAATCTTTGCTTTTCAATCAGACCAACATGTCCGCATAAGTTTGTTCCAGCATGTGGGTACAAAAGGTCAATGAATCTTATGCGTCCAAGCAAGCTGACCGAAGTTTGCTAGAAGCCTTAGCAACTAAAAGCTTCCGTTGTTTTACGAGTTGATCTCACTTTACGTGTTTCCAGTTGAAGCAACTGGTGGTTTGGTTGTTAAATTGTTCATCGAGCTTAGCGCCATTTCAGGGGAAATCTTTAGTACGACGATGATGATGACTTTCAAAGTCCAAATTACCTACAGATATGTTCACCAGATTATGTCAAAATCGGTGGCTTTTTGCTGTCCATCCTGAGTTCAATAACGTCTCGAAAAGTAAATCGTTGCAATAAACCATTTGCAATTAATTACAGTAAAACAATTTTGGAGTTCTTGTTGGAGGTATCTCAGCAGCACCACTGTGAACTAAGCCACCCGAAGATACAGGTGATAAGACTTATTGGTTAACGATAAAACGATCCCCTTATCAGGGGATCGTTTACAAATCGATTGGTATTTCTAATGTGAGATCTCAGGTGACAGCAATGAGTTTGCCAGCTTTTGGATCCCCCGGTTGCACCATGCACCAACTGCCTGCATCCAGGACCTAACTGAGGCCACTTTCGTCAGCTTTGTATGAGATATAATTTCAGTCGATTGAATCAAATTTATATAAATTTAGTCGTACAGTGCACGACAAAGTCACATGAGACTTTGGTCACAAGTTAGAGACTGTTTATTCCAGGGCCTTATGGCGGCACATCCCAATTCTTCAGTTTATCGTTGCAGTAAACAGACTATTTTCGCTTAGACACGCATCCTTGGAGTTAAAGTAGCTGAACAAATTAAAAGCGTCTGTGCCATACCCGTCGACAGTAGATGAAATCGTAATGCTGCACTATTCATGAATGATTGTTTCGGCAGATATGAACTGGGAAGAGTTTGATTCACTGCCAGGCATGGTAGGGGTAAATTGTGGAAAACCGGGGGGTTTCGAAGTATACGCTAATAGGTACTGTCGTTTCTGAAGTCCCTACGTTTTCCCACTGTTCGTTGTATTTTAACGTCTTCTCCGAAAACCGGATGCTAAGATCAAAGAGAGCTGCTCCAATGCAACCTTGACATGAAGTGCGATAATCACCAGAAAATGTCAAAACTATGCCGCTTCATATGTGAGGCAAGTAGTTTTTTGTAGAGGGATCACCAACTGTACCTCCAACTATATTCACAACCTTTTTTGATGTTGGTGAGAGATTCGGGGGTTTCGATTTCGTCATATAAGTGAAGTCATTCTACGCTGAAATGTGTACAACTGTACAACTGTTTCACCATTACTGGAAAATTTCACCAAAGAGCATCTCACTCGATGAATGAAACTTCCGTCTTAAGTTGTCGTTCAATGGGCCAGTGAGTATGTGTGGCTAGGTGATGCGGATCCCAAGAGTGAACGATGAACGGCGCTTTATCCGCTCTAGTTGCGAACTAATCACCGCTGATCGGCCGCTGGTGGCGGCTGTGAACGTACGACTACACATGGTACTCCAGTCCTCACCAACCACTCGTCTTGGACGACTCTTCTGCCGGGTTCTGTCATTTTCTACAGACAAGGTTTTAAGGTAGCAATGAAGCACTTGTTTTTGTTCAATCTCGTCTCTGTTCTGGTACAATTCTCCTGATTAGTTCATACCAAACGGAAAAACGACCATTGTTTTTAAGTGGTGGTGCATCTTGAAGCAATCTGGGTTTTGAATCCCACTCGTATTTTCAAGGCAAGCGGACACCGTTTCCTCTTGATCATATCGGGATACTGTTTGGGGGGAGTTAAAACATTCATGGTGTGCATTCGTAGTCCATCAACTGTCGTAGTTTTATCGGCCGGCGATGAGCCTGTTGAGACTTACAGACCTGGTAGCTCATGGAGGATTCAAACTTGAGGGAACAGACAGCCATCTATTAATTAAACTCATTACCATAAACGCAATGTACTACAATCCAGATGTTCCCTGAGAATAACTTGCAAGAACCATTTAGGTGACACTTACAATGTCTCTCTTAACAGGAGCCAGAGGCGGGAACTAGGCAGTGGTTGCTTCTTGGAGAGTGTGCGAGTGAACAGATACTTCTTGTGCGACAGCCAGATAACCCTTAAACCATGTGTCTACCTTTATAGAGAAACATACTTTTTCCGCGTATTATTCAGTTTAATGTAGTTCTTATGCTGCAAGCCACCTAGTAAGAGCATGCTGGTTCCGGATGTTGAGGTTGTGTTCCGCAACATGCGAAAATCGGTGAAAAAGTAGACAGGCAAAGGGGGTTGTGGTCCAGGTCGTCAGTGGGTGTTGAGCCATTCTTAGTGTCTGACAAAAGCAGTCAATCGAACAGCGATAAATGTGACTCGGGAAAATCAATGACTGCGTTACTAAGCTGTTATCACCAAATGATGTTTCGAATCATGGCCTCTCCACCCAAGGAGGCTGCAGACGTCAATCCGAATGAGTTCCACAATTTAAAATTTCCTGCTTCTTTGTCAAGCCACAAACTGTTCAGTTTTCATTTCTTCCAGTACGCGGTGCGACAAAGAAGCTCTGAGAGGTTCACGGTCAACTTTCATGCAAAGTGCATGATCTAACCGGCATATCTCAAAGACTTGGTTCGTAGAGGTTCACGGTCAACTTTCATGCAAAGTGCATGATCTAACCGGCATATCTCAAAGAGTGTACTTGGTTCGTCCAGTGCAAGACGGTTCCTGCCACTTTCAACCATGTTGTATTCCCCAGAATGGCTAAATGAATACTCATACCAAACCCAGCCAAGGTTTCTAGCACTCGGTTGACCTCCCAAGGAGAGTAGTGGTAATTTCAGAGGCAAAGTCTCTTGAACATAAATAGGTTAGGATCGCACCGTTGTGGTATATACCTTGCTACTGAGGGGTAAATTAAAATCATTTTGATGTTAAGGTGTCGAATGTCAGCATGAAGTGATTCAAGACCTAGCCTCTTCTTCGGCCAGCCCATAAGCCGTGCATAGCCACTCAGATAAATAATTTATTCCACCTCGCCGACTGCTTTCAGGCAAGGTAACACCGAAGGTATTTTTCCTTAAAAGTTAACACAGTCTCTTTACTGGGGACAACTTTGATCGCTGGATAGTGGCAGAGTTTCCGAAGATCGACAGAATCAGTAGCAGGTGGAGAGGCGCTACTACTGTGGAGCTGTCTAGTCACAGCTTCCTCCATTTGGGTCATACTTTCATACTTTCATGATGCGCAATGAACACCGAATTCGTACCAGAGACCGAAACACCAATTCATTCGCGAAATATTCTTTGGTGATTACCAGTGTCCAAATTAGTTCGAGACGGCTCGTTGGTTAAGGGTCACAGTGGTCAGTGGCTCTAAACCAACCACATCATCTCGACTGCTTCTGGCTATGCTTAGGCAACCTGGCGGTAATTGAGCTTCCATGTTTCCTTCCGATGACAAAGCAGCTAGGCAGCCGAAGGGTGGAAAGGATGAATGATTATTTGGTGTCCACATGCTGATCAACTTTTGGTCGAGCATAATAATCCACATAGTAAATAAAAAAGGTAAACTAATCGTCAAGCCGTAGTACGAATTTCAGCGGAGTCACCGCCTTTTAAAACCTACCCCTAAGAGACTGAATTTATAGTAGCTTTTGACCCCCATGTTAGGGACCGAAGCTTATAGACTAAACGCTGTGTAGTCCAAGTCCTTGGTGGTCTGCAATCTTATTCTCAGGCGCACATAAGCATTATTGCACTTTCAAGAAACAACAGATGAGAACTTCTGTAACGAAGTCACCTTCCGGCCATGCTGATGGCTTTGTATTAATTGGGCTGTGTCCTTGATATAATTTCGACTAAGCAAAACTTGTTCATATTAACCGAAGGACCCAAATAAATTCAGCTGAACTTTATGACGGTCCGCTTTAATTGATGTGCCGCATCATGCCATCTCATGTCCAAAAGTAACACTACTAATAAGGTGTCTGGAAACCCTTCAGTTTGAGCAGAACATTGTAAACGAAAAACTCGGCTGGATTCATCTGAATCTCTTGTCATGATCAAAGCAATGTGCAAATGGGAGCGTTTGTCCAATTTTGTCCACTTTGGATCGATGAACCCAAAGAACAGGGAACTGGTCGTGGGCCGCCGAAGAGTTTTCAGCAACTATTTAAGTAGTTCGTAACGCTTCTTCATACTAACCTTGAAAAGATCATTTCACCCATTCTTACATGTTCCTATGAGGATCTGTGTCATTTTAATTGCACTCGAACTGAGCTGGCGCTGAGTGATTCTTCTCGTTAGTACATTAACATGCTGCTTAGGTTGACTAGAACGATTGAACCGACCGGCTCCGAGTTCATGCTCTAAGGTACGTCACGTGTTTTATTGCAATATGAACATGATAACAAACCATTCATTTGTACGGTAAGTTTGGTTGTTGAAGTCATTCTTCGGTACCGATATAACCAAACTTGGTGCCAAGCGATTTTCGCCTTTGCTAAAGTCTGAAAGTACTACCTGATACAGTGTAGTAGGGCTGAAAGTGCTGAAATTTCCGGCCTTGTTGTTGGTATATCACCATCCTATCCAGACAAAAAGCTCGCAGAACCGGGACACATTGGTCCTTCTTTACTTATTTTGAGGTAATCAGTAGGATGGACGGGGTGGATTATGACATCAACAGGTAGTTTCATTCTTTCTGTGGAATTCGGTTCACACAAGTATTCACCATCCATTACACTTTTACCCTCAAAACAGCTTAAGAAACAAAATTTTTGAAGTTTCAATGTGATTTGAAAAACATGCTTTTGACCTCACAAACTGCGTGTGCTTTCGAAAAATTCTGCAAACTTGGGACTATTTTGCCAGTTTTCCTTGTCCAATATATGATTTCAGTAGTTCTAGACGCCAAGAAACTGCCGTTCTCTCGCGATTTTTTTTTGAAATTAAGGTTTTCAAAAATATTGGGCTGTACAGGAAATGCGGTAAACACAATTGACTGTCTTCGTAAAAAGAGCGTTAAGGAGATCCTGGATGCTCATGATGCCATGTTCAACGATGCGAGCTATTTCTCCGTGCCTTTCCCCCCGGTGCTGGATCAGCACTTTCTCCCGTATGAAAATGGCCTCCGACTGCGACAAATGCGTTTCATGAAAACAACAGGTTCCGTCATGTTCGGCATCAACAAAAACGAGGGAAGTTACTTCCTACTGTACGCGTTTGTGAACAACAGTGATTGGCGCGGAGAACACACTCAGTTGCCTATAAGGAGTCGAGCAGAATATCTTACCTGTCTACGGCGTGTGTTGGAATTACAGGACGACATTCGACCAGAACTGACCGATCCGCTGATTCGTTATATCGATTTTGAGTACGAAACCTATGATTATATTGTAAGTCTATCGTTTCTTGAAAGTGATGATGCCGAAAGATATTTGTTTCCACCCACGGAAAATATACGGATGGGTCTTGATTGGCTGGTGGTTTTACTTTAGGGGAGGTGAAAATGTTATATCGGTTGCACGAGTGAACAATAATATACCTGCCGGAAATTATGATCCTCTGTTCTAACGCTTTTAACTTAGCAAACAATCTCCTATAATGACTGCCTCTATCATCTATGAATATACTCGCCTGGTGAAAGCGGAAACATTTCGAATCGCCCATAGATATCATCAGAAGTTGGTTCGATGTAAATACCGAAGAAGACTTAAACTTCGAAGGAACTTTTACCCGAATACAATGCGATGCCTTATCCTGTAGTCAGTTAGGGGTGTCTGTAATGTAACTGCCTGACATAGATCAAAGGAGTTTGTTTATATTCCCTCTAAAATGGCAAGCATTGGAGGAGATTATTCCCAACAGGCGAATCACAGCTGATCTCTTAAGACATATATCAGTGGAAAACTCCCTCTCAGAAGAGACTAATCTTCCTCTGTCAATCCTTTGGGTTAACCTTTCCGGAGACGGGAACGACCTCGACTTTTTAAAGGGTTGACCCGAACATTTTTGATCAGCCTTCTAGGTGGTCAACCCACCGCAGAAAAAGAAGCAGCCCATAGGGTTTTACAACGGTCCCCTTTGACTCGTCTGTCCCTTATGGGAAGGACTCACCCGTGATGAGAACTCAGCAGAAAGCAATATAAAGTGGTCTCATCTGAATGATGACATTTACAGAGGGTGGAACTTGCTTCAGTCCGATGCCAAAATATACGCTAGCACACAACTCATTAAAGGCCGACAATTTTGTTCGAATTCTAGTTTTCAGATGGCGACACTCACAACAGTGGCTCTCGCTTAATAGTTTGAACGCCTAATCATTCGACCACGAGCGGCTGATAAACTCACACTTAGGCAAAATATAGCGCCGCTCATCCTTCAACCTAGGGATCCACCGAACAGAATACCCATAAGGCTGCTGAGAATTCCTCGACATCCTATTCATGATTTCAGCCTTCTAAGATTAGGTAGACACAGGCTGAGTCTTTTACTTGAAAACCGAATTTCACGTAACTGGAGAACTACAATCATTTGCAAATTAGTTTAGTGTTAACAGAAGAATCAACCGAATCCCAGCTGATCCGACATTCTTTAGCTTAACATGCCAAACAACGAGATGAATTCTGTTGACTCTCCAGGGAATACGTAGTGGATTTGCAACTGAGTGTATTTCTTGAAGTCCGAAATGTATACCAGATGTTCACCTTCTGTTATATCAATAGCCGACGTTAGCATCTTGGACAAGACGACTGGAGGTGATCAGCAGTGACCGAAGCTTCAAATGCCCCACCATAACTATGGCCAACACAGCCACCAATCAGTACGTGTTGTCAGGTCCTCGAATCGGAAGCAAGTTGCCCGTCTACTTCTATGAGTTTCAACACCGAACCGCGTCTGTGCAGTGGCCTGAATGGGCGGGAACAATGCACGGATACGAGATTGAATATGTGTTCGGTATCCCTTTCAGCCCACAGTTTCAGGCCACGTTCTATCGGTTTACGGACGAAGAGCGAAGACTGAGTGATATGATGATGACCTACTGGGCCAATTTCGCTAGGACCGGGTAAGTCTTACTCAGCCTAGACAGTTTCCAGCAACCTCTAGATGTTGACTAAACCCACTTATCGGAAGATCGACGCTTTCAAATGCGCAAAGTTGATGTTTGAGCTAGCTGGCAAATTATTATGTTACAGTGTGGAACGCGCAACTATGGGAGAAAATTCAACTCACACTTCATTTTATCCCTATTGTAATATCGAGAAGTATAGTAAAGTATTTAAGTCTTGTTGAGGATCATGGACAGTGAAGATCTCACGAACCAGTAAGACGGTTCCGACCCACGTCTGTCCGGTTGTTAGCATGACATGATATTATTGGCTAAGTAGGTTCTTATCAGTGCGATTAGTGATCAGTTACGCAGTGCGACAGACAGGATACGGCACCACTCATCCTTCAACCACCAGCTCACGCCAAGCGACCCGATGTTGAATAGTTCCTAGGACGATCAATACCCAGATTATAAGGTCGTGCAAACTGCGGGATTTGTGGACAGATTTTGGTGATGTGGTGGGGCAGTGCAATACCAGTCTTTCCCGAACAAAATTCGGTCCCTACATTTAGATACTTTTAGGCGTGTGAGAGTATATGGTGAGCCATCCAGAAGATTCCTTACAAAAACTGGTGCCCGAGAAGTATGTCCACACTGTCCACTTTTCGGCAGCTTCATCATTGATAAAATAATGAAGCGAACGCCTAAAGGTCTTCAAACCTCCGGTGTTCAAGTCGTACTTCAAGGCATATTTTCACGTGGTCAGAAAGTTGTTTACCAGTGATCTTTCAGGGATGAATGGAGTTACGAAGAGTTTGGGTGAAAAGTCGTTCAGCTGTAACACCCTTTCGGTGCCTAACTGCCATGCCTCCAGAATAAAGCATGAGGGCTGGGATACTGCTGGGTTGCCCAAACCTAGACAGGGAAAATCCAGAGGCAGATCCACGGACCTTCCGGTCAGTAAATTCGCGCTAGAAGCACTTAGCCATACACTGTGGTACCGCACATTCCTTAAATCACCTAAGTCCTCCACGATACCTGATGTGATATATTGCTCAAAAGAGTCCGTCGAATCAATGAGTCACTTTTATTCTTTACTTCCCTACGGACGTTAAGCATGCCACTGGAGGCCAACAGATATTGTCCTCTCAGCAACAAGGTTGAACAGACATGAGATTACAGCCCAAACATTGCCACATGCATGAGAACGGCGGAAGTCATTTGTATGACTTCAATATCTCTTGTACACCCTTGGTAAGATCAATTGAATGCTGCTGAAAAGTATAAAGTTTAGGTTTTTTGCCACCAGCCCCCACGAAACATATGTTTATCTATCCAGCTGCACTTTTTCATTATTATTTTAGCAAGTGAATGCACTGGACAAGCCCTGCTAGTCTTATGGGAATTCACTGTGGTGTATGCTCAACCGGGTACTGTTACCAGTTCTGGTTCGTTATGCATATGTTCGCTTTTGCAGAAACTGGTTCATTAAATCATTGGGAGGTAAATTGGACGCGCTAGGTTCCTGTTGCTAAGGGTTCGTTTTCCTGATGGTCTTGGCCATGAAGATTTGAACAGGGATCTCAGGCGCAAAAGCGCCACCCGTCTGATCATTGAAATGAATTTGCAGGGTCCCAAAGCCACCCCTGTGCCCCCAGGACTTCATTGGAGCGTCTCGTTTGGTCAACTTTTCTGAAAATCGGCTGCAACTGGCGCCTTTCTGATTCCCCTCTAGGCGTTTGAACCGATGGTTGGCAGTCATCCGAAGATGTTCGACGATGGTAAAACTTCTTGATGAAATGATCTGGTTCCTACATTTTAGGAAAGTCGGCTGCTACCCTTAAGTCTGTCGTTTTTCAATCGTCCATGACGCTCAATTAAGTATACGAATGATTACATAGGGGCATCCTGAAAGATTTCCTGAAAAATGCAAAAGTTTTCTTCGTTTGCCTACCTCCAGAGCTATCCTATTGTTTCACCTTAGACAAACATGGGATTTCGATGATAATCAGTCAGAGCCTAATCACCGACCATGTTGCGACGGTGACAAGTGTTAAATCTCCCTTTGTTCCACACGGAGGAAGTCATTGAGAGTAGATCTCATTGAACAACTCACTTCAGTCATCGCAGCCGGCTTCCTTTCCTGAGGGACTACCTGGGCAGATTTCCCCCTTTATCGTTTACTTTTATAAAACACGGTCACAAACATAGAAAGTAAATGCAAGCGATAGATGTGGAAGGGTTGCAGGAAAATAATAAATAAAACAAGCGAAACGTCCCATTTGAAGCCGTGCCATCAACGGTTCTAGTTGGACATGATGAAATCCAACGTATTTAAGAACGTTTGGTATGGAAACACGCGCGTAAAATCCAACAACTGAATTAATGACAAACAATACTAAATGGTTGCACTCAGAATTGGGATGTCAAGTCCCTTATATTGTTCAACAACGTGGACATGGCTGATCAGGGTGGTAGACGTAGCAAACAAACTGCTTGATGTAGCCCTTTGGGCTTATGAGCGTGTTTCGGCGGACTCAGCCGAGCACGAGTAAATATGTTAGCCTCGGTATCAGGTATCTGTTTACTTAGGATTTCCATTATTTGATGCGACTTCAACAAAGCTTGCGTCACCTCATCGAGCGGTTTGAGAAGCTGCTGTTGGTGGCTGCCGACTCCTTTCCTCTCGGCTAAGTAAAGTGCTCGGCTGGTACCGCTGCCGCCCGATGTGTCCTGTCCCCACAAATCGCCGTCGCTTTCGCCTTTCGAATTTGATTTTCATACTAGCTTTTACCAGCTCGACTGCATCAGCTTCATGCTTTTCCTTAATGTGCGCTTGACTTTCTGCATACACTAGTTAGTTGTCATCGGAGCCGAAACCATACACTAAGGCATTATGGATCTGGTATCCTAGTTGCAGCACCGACCATCCAAGAACCTCATCCATCGACACAATGAACAGTAATGGGAATGGTGAATCTCTATGCCTCACACCTCTGCTGCAGTGAACATCGGAATTAGGAGAAACTGCAAGAGCATAATCATAGGACTGTGCCTGGATCAAACTAAAAGTGACGATGCTCCAAACGCCTTGGCAGATTTGAAAAATGTGTCATGGGAAACCATATCAAACGCTTTAGGGGTATCAACAAACGCTAATCTGGGGATAGAAGCAGAATTGAAATATTCAGCTAGCGCACTGAGATTGAACCGGCGAAGCATCCTGTGCGCAAGCTTATGCGCACCTGGGTACAAAGTGTCCAGTAAACGGATCGTATGGCCGATTTCCTCACTTGTAATTGGCTCGATCAAACTCCAAGCGGATGGTAGCACTGCGCCACTTGGCCGGATATCCATGTGTAGATGGTGGCGTAGTTGGCTCGGTGGGCCTGTTTTGGGTTGGCCAACACCCAATAAGGGAACTGACGAAGGCGTCTGGATACAGTTTTCCAGTGTGAAAATGTCTTGGAGGTGTGGAGGTTCGGAAGCGACAAAACCTGTCCCCGTGTCATGATGCCAGACTGCAACCCTCGAGCAAATACCAAAAGGTCAGCACTAGCAAGCGAAATATCAACATGGCATTCCAAGAGTGACATGGTCCAATCCACAGCCTCTTTAAACCAAACACTATAGTCATTTGCCCCTGGCGAATAGGTTGCTGTTTGACCGATGGTCTAGTCAGGGCCACTAGATTCGTACAGCTGTGCTTGCCAGTTAAGCATCCGTAACCTGGCTTTGATGCTGATGGTCGATCGACCAGGAAAACTGCTCCAATCTTGCAAACAGCGCGGTTTGCATGTCACAAGATGGGTACAAATTGTCATCTGGGCACAAGAGTTATTGTGACACTTTAGGACCAGCTGACACCGGAATTCTTCATTCCATCGAGCTTATCTGCATTATTCTGGGTAGTGTGCGTGACAGCGGGAACAATCAGCACAGACCAATTGGGTGATGTCATTCGCACTAAAACTTTCATGGACGTGAACTCGATTTGAAACGCTTGCCACATTACTCATACGTGAGTCCCACTAGTCTCTCCTGCGTACTAGTTGGAACTGATGCGGAGGCGCCAGATGATTCGTACTGTACATTCTCGAATGTAACCAGCGCACTGAAATCAGACAGGGTGGTTAACCCTGTATTGAAAGGCTGAACACTTAGCTCACCAAGAGTGACGTCCAGGCCACCTAGTCGGCACCACGAGATGGTTCAGCGCACCGACTAGTCAGCATCAGTCGTCAGTAGCCGCCCTTATTTTCTGAAGTTTCACTCCAGACGGTTTCCTCTATTTTACCAAAGTCATACTACTTGCATTAATCGTGAGTAGTGTAAAAAGGTGGAACTTTTCGTTGCCCTGAAGCTAATCGAATCCAAACTCTGGTCGAGATTTTCATGAAATCTAGTGAAAACTGGACGTTGTTTGGTGTTGATTGCCAGTTATTTTAATTTGTTTATAGTGACCCAAACATCTTACCACTGGACAAGGACGTACTGAATTTGAACAGTCCGGCTGGAGAGGCAGAGGAACGAGTTGATTCTGTCTTGGAACCGAAACACATCACAGATTATTTGGAGCAAGTCCGGTTACCTGGATCCCTCGCCAAATGTGAATTCTCCAACTGGCCCCAGTATCTAAACGAAACTGCTTCTTATCTGATTTTCGGAGAGGAGGCTGGTAAGCTGTTGGTGGGATCTGCTCCCCGACGGCGTCAATGTCTTTTCTGGCAACGGTGGTATCCGGCTTTGTTGCTGCAAAGTAAGCTAAGCCCACTGAAAAGAAACAAGCATGTGTAAAAGTTCTCTCCACGTAAACATCCAACTACGCAATCTGTACTGTTAGATTAAAAAGTCTGGGAATTGCACTGCATTTTTGGAATACACATTTCCTCACAAAAAATGAAGCAACCAGTTTATCCTGACAAATTTGATGCATTCTGTAGGTGGTTGGTCTGTATGCAAAATGACCTTTCCTAGACCTGGATGTCATTATAACGCTCAGCCTCTGAGCAGAGCAGTGCAAATCAATGAGAAATAACAGTACGTTACTGTCTGGAACAAACAAATTTCGCACACAACAAACATCAAAAAAATAATCACATGTAAATAGTGCAGACTAAACAATCATCTGCGATTTTAAATGGTTTTGTCACTCCTTAACTTGATCTGATTTGAGCAAGTGGTGTGCGACGAATCACCTCATGTAGTTGCACTTGGCGTTTTCCTTACGATACTAATCTTCTGAGTAACTCTCACCGAAATAAATTGTTCTGTACTTTGGTGGCAGTAAGCTTTAGAAGATCAGAGTGACCGTTCAAAAGTTATCTTCAAAGGGCTGATTGTATTGCCGTACAGACTTTTCGTTCACTTATTGCCTTTTGCTGTTTTTGTTTGAGTCTAGCAAGACAGCACAAAATCAGACCCTACTGCAGCCTCAGTTCTTTTTTTCAACATACTACGGGTCCAAGTAATGTAATAGGTGAGAAACGGTATCTTTCTGGAGGCTGATAAAAACCATTAGTCCCAAGCTAGACAGAACTACTACCACTTAGATAATCTTCTAGAGGACGGTAGTCGAATCCAAGAACGCAATCTCCCCCTAAAGACAGTTGATTCTGTCGTCTTTATCCCGGGTATGTTCAGAGGACTATGTCCTCTTCTACCTATGAAAAGAGCGTCAACTGCTATTCAGTGGAGAGGACTCTAAATGCAGACCACTCCAGTATGGAGTGTAAGGTCAGTTATTGAAGGATGCAAGTCAGAATCGGCTCAGTGTGGTTCCCACTGTCTATTCGCGCTTGTCTAAATTTGCCACTAAACAGGAGTGACTTGTAAGCATCACCGAAACATGTTTCCAGTAATTTTGAACTCTCAGAGTGAACCGGACACTTCAGCTTACAAGATCCGGTCGGAAAACCAGCCGTACTATCAAGCTTTTTGGCGAAATACCGGGCATATTACAACTAAGAGACGCTTCTCTCGTTCCAACAGCGGTGGTGGTGGTATCTATTGGGCAACACTGTTCACAGGAGTGTGCAGAACAACTTCAGAGCTGATAAAATTATATTCACACAGGAATTTGAACTTCATTTTGAGAAAATCGAAAGCGACCTGAAACAAACACTGTGCCAGCGTACAAAACTTCCCATTAGACGTACAACTTATTTGTACCTCATCATCCTTTATATCTTTCTGTTTCAGTCGAACGTCATCGTCAAAATTGTCAGGGCTATTAACGTGAACCTCACTCACATGTGTCCTTCACCGTGCTTCCATTCCCATCTGTCGCCAAGCATGCCTTACTAATGAACACCTCTTTTTTGAAAATCGTCAAACCTTAGACTAGAGATATTCTACTTGACTCCAGTACAAAGCACATCCATAAGAGTTATTATGCACAACGCTCTGCGAACTGAAGAACAAAAGGCCAGCAGTGATCGAGATCGCCAACACCCAATCAGCTCGGACCAGAGACACGTAAGCCAGTTGTTGACAACTTTCAGTCCAAATGGATGAGTCGCTGGATTCTCGGGTGCCATTTCACCCGAGTGAACTTCCGGACAGTCAGAATTGTTTGTAGTTACTCGTCAGCATTGAATATATTGATGTCTTGATATTCTTCACCCATTTTCTTTTCTTTTTAAACCATTCCAGTTTCATTACTGATAATCACGACAAAAAATTTGGCTTGGGGTGAGCAGTCAGAATTGTTTGTAGTTACTCGTCAGCATTGAATATATTGATGTCTTGATATTCTTCACCCATTTTCTTTTCTTTTTAAACCATTCCAGTTTCATTACTGATAATCACGACAAAAAATATTGGCTTGGGTGAGGAAATTGCACGGATAACCGTTGCAGGGAGAGAACACAGTTCAAAACAAAAAAATGATTGGCCATTTGTCGCTTTCTTAAGGAGATTGTATCGTGTAAAGGGTTGCAGTGTGAATGAATTCAATCAAAATGGAAGCAAAAGCTGCTGTGAGTTTACAAATCAAGGTGTCTACGAAACTACCTCTTAGAGACCTCAGAAACCCAACAATGAATATTCTTACTCAAGGACTGCTGCATTGGAAACTGCTCTATTGCAGTCGGACTACGGTGAAGGAAAAAAGCTGTATTGAACATCATATTTCATTTCATATACTCACAGAAAATCCCATCGCTGAAGTATGTAGATGGCATCAAGATAGGGGTTTTCGGTCCAATGTGGCAAGCTTGAATCTACACGCACTGTCTTCAAGCGACATCATCTTTCTACTGGACCCAGACGCTCTCGCAGATCTTCCTCGACCTTCACGTTACTTAAATTTTACAAGTAGCGAGATGTTAGTCTCAATTATACTTAATGGAAGTTAGGTTAATTGTTTTTAGCAAGGCGTCAGACTGTTGCTGTAGTAGGTTTGACCTGGTCTGTTTCAAGTAGGCTAAGTAACCTGAAGCCGAGTGCTCCTTCAAGGAATATTCCCCAGTCGACGAAGAAATCTTGAAAACATATGTTCGTGGCCGAGCAATGCACGGCGTTCTACCCATTGCTATTTTGAAACTGTCATCCTGAGATCGATTATCTGTTCAGAAGACTATTTAATACTTGGCCATACATTTAACCACTCAGTTTACCTTCACGGACGTCCGTGCCTAAAGCATTACGCATGAGCGCACAACCCGGAGTAGTAGAGTTGATTGTGATCTGACAGTCAGTTGCACAGGAAATCTCACGAGTCGTGAGCAGCACGTTTTAATAGTACCAGTAAACATGGATTAAAAGAACTCTTCAAGTTTTATTGATATTCACTGAGCACGCAGTTCGAGCAAGATTTACTATTCGACAAATAACAGTCAGCATATTCTGAACTCCAAGGGAAATTCATGTGTAAAATGAAGTCTTTTTGGAAGGTTCACCATACTGAGGCAAACAGTAGGGTTAACAAGAACGAAGTCACCGCGCCATGTTGAGGATAAGTTGGATTTTGCGGAAGGCCTGAATAAAAATAACTAAGAAACGATTAGTGGCATATACGATTTGACCTCTCTAGCGAAATGCTTTCAAATTGACCACAGTATTTCTCATTTACTTTACAGCAAAAGTGTAACTTAAGATACGGGACAAAGTTTTCTTCAAGCAGTATTTTACTCCTAATTGAAAAAATGTCCTGTACGAGTGCATCCATGGAAGGACATGCAATACAGGTGAGTTTTGAGAAAGGTGACCGAATTTCAGGAGAACAGGGCTGTTTATCCACATCCGCGAGGTAGTATCGCAATTGTACGTTTTGTCCTGTGGAAACACGCGCAGACAAAGTTAATTCTAACTTATCGTACGTGGGAAGACCAACCTGGGTTTTGTACGGTAACGTCGCCATGGGGAAAAAAAACTGGCGGTCCGCTTAGATTGGCAGGTTGAGGATTATAAAGTACACACATTTGTGAAAATGTGATTCACTCTGGCAACAGAACCGCAGGTCCAAGTAAGCCTCATGCTGCTTCAAGTCTAAGAGTTAAGAGTTATTAAGTTAACAGTTAAGAGTTAAGAGTTGTTTTTCATCGATAAACATAATAGAAGCACTCGTTATTTGAAGTAGCCTGGGGATACACCAGTTTCGTTTTGAAATAACTGCTTAACTTCAAGGCCCACACATTTGGAATCATCAGCAATTCGGTGGTTTTCTCGCTCGACCACGCCCAACCGTAGTAATAAGGCAGGATACTGACTTCTAGTAAGCACATGGCATACTCCGATCTGACTGACTAGCTGTGAGCCGCCCGAACTTAGATACTCCTTTATTATGGGATTGTGGCTATAGCCACCACGAGTGATAACACTTTCGCTTCGCATATCACAAATATGATGTCATACTATCTTCATGAAGGAAACCACTCACAAGGTTGCTGAGAACTCTTCGGCAGCCCACGACCGGTTTTGCCCTTCTAGGAGCTCATCAGGTAGGTGCTAAACTACTTCGCTGGTCAAGGACGTATATTACTAACAAGAACGAAACTCGAGGCCAATAGACCCCACTTTTGTGTACGCTAACCAGAATCAAGCCAAGTGAGGAGCGGCTCAGAAGAGTGACGTGAATACAATTGTGCAGATCCAGTAACCGCACGTGATTAATTTTTAACTTATTTTTAAAAAACTCTTGCTTAAATTTTTAACTAATTTTGAATTGATGTAGCCGACAACTTAATCTTGGATATCCAAACACTGCCATTTCTTGAACACAGTCGAAATATCGTTTGATATCAGTGCGAGTGGGGGTAAAGTGGCACAAGACTAGTGTTCCCGATAATTTTCATTGTTTTTGATAATTTTTGGCACCTATTCAAGCTCAGTTAAATGAGAGGGTCATTGAATGATCGAAAGATGATGAATGTCATGTAGGCAGACAGTTAGGCTCGTGCGTAGCAATCAAGGCTACGCAAGGTCATCAACTATCTGAAGAATTTTCTTCATCTGAGATATATAAAGTGCATTCTCATTCTCAGCAATCCGCCAAAATATACCAGCCTAAATTGCACAAAATATTTCGATGCATTGCTGCTGATCACCCTTGCGTAAGGAAACATCTTTGTTCCAAGGATTCATGATGATGTTCCCCGAAAAAAGGATTAATGTATGTCGGCCGGTGAAACAAGTCGATTGCTCGTAATTTTGGAAAAAGGCTATTCTTCAATATTTCTCTCAAAAATTGCCCACCGAACTTTTAAGTCAGCACCACTGCAATAAAAAAGACGTTGTGACTTCAGTGTACGTGAGCCTTCATTATGATCTTATGAATCCTTCCGCATTCCGAAATGAGTAACTTTGCACGATGAGCGCAAAAAGATCAGTTTCAAAATGGTCCCTTTCCTCGACAGCTTTTAAGAAGTCCGTGTGGAACGCTCCGCTCGGTCAGTTACTTGTGAGCGATATGCCGAATGCATATGTGTAAACTCAGTTAACTGTGCAAATAAGTGGCATGGAATGAAGTCGTATAACTCAAATCGTCAACCGTTAACGGGGCTCGCCTAGTCAAAATGAATATGTGCCCACGGATTTGTCCGCTCCGGCTATTGACAAGGTTCAACTGTGACTGTAGAAGTTTCGATGTTTTGATCACGCATGGCCAACAGGCGTAGTGGCATGTTATTGCACTAATTGGTATCATCCCTGGATGCTCAGTAACCTAGGTCTCAACTTTTTGCGGACGACCAATCGGTTTCCCAATAAGATGCGGTTGTCTACGCTAACGGTGCGTCTCCAAACCCATTTTCACCTGTCACCATCTTCGGGTGATTTGTGTCTGAAGGGCTAGCTCGCTGAAAAATGTAGTCAGGTCCTGTGGTACTGTGTACCTGCAGTGGATTAAGGTCCGTCAATCGGGTCAGTTGATTGCATGAGTAGATATGCATTTTTAGAAGTGAACTGTTATACGCATGTCTCGCGACTTACTTCGCCGTAGCATCATATGAAGTATTTCACGGAACTGACTCTACTGGACTGCTAATGGAGGGTGGCTTACAGTGCTACATTTGCTGTTTGATAATTTGTGCATAAGAACCCCAGAACCAAGTCAGAAGCGGTGGCTAAAACTGACGTAGGTAGTTTTGGAGTAGAAAAAGTTGGTGGGAGGTCATTGCTCGTAATTTCTCAGTGTTTCGAACGCCTTCCAGTAGTTTGGTTGTCAGGCCGCTCAGTGGTGCTCGCGTGGAAATTATGTATGGCGTGGGGTGCAGTGTCGTTCTGTCGTTTGCGGCTGTCTGATGATGGCTTGTTTATCGGAGCCCGACTAACCTCCTTACTCATGAGTCCATAACAAGCCAGCCAAAAGTAAGAAAATCAGGTCACAACCTAACAAAAATCGTCAATGGGCCATTCAAATTCCATGTAGACCTACCCGCAAGCACACATTTATGTCGAGACCGCAGAATAAAGAGGGAGGAATTTGCCACCAAACTGCGCACCGACGATGTCTCCTAGTATGGTGACGAAACATTTGCGGGTCAATCGCTAGGGGTGGCGAGCAGGTCAGCTGCCACCTTATCAGTGGCCAGGAAACACATCCGACTCACTACAGCACCTAGATTTATGTGGCTTTGTGAACCTAACAGACAGAACTTACGAGACGCGAGTCGTTGCATGAATTCAATCGCAATGATGACAACTCAGCACACTATCACCTTGGTTGATTGTAGTCGATGAGTTTCAATTCCATTAAGAGACAGTAAGTTCTCACTGGTCTTCTCAAACTCTACCTGGGCTAGCAACTCTGGAAATCAAGTCTATTCAGCAATCCAACAGAAGTACGCGAGCGGTGAACGGGCTTAGACGCCCTAGCCCAGCTGCACACATACAAAATCTACTTTCGTGAGATTTATTGCCAAAATCGAAATACTCTACTCACGAGGTCTGGCAGGATAATGCATTAAGGACTATCAGAGTGGTGGGAGCATAATAAGCCACGATGGCATTTCTACAAGTGAGTGTTAAATGCTACTGACCAAAACTGTAAAGATCGATAAGCAAAGCTTTATCGACTTTCGCTGCCATCTTTTGACGAATTCGGCGATCAGCCCTTGGCAGCATTCCAGTGCCTCTTATGAGAAACACCATGTAAGACATCGTATAGAATCTAACTTTGGAAAATGTGGAAGCTTCAGTGTGGAAACTACCAGCAACACATCGCCCGGTGGCTGAGACGGTCAAAATCACCAAGCATCCCAATATGTCCAGAATAGAGGACAAAGGTTTTGAACCGTACAAGTGGCAGCTTATCTATCGGCTATTAACAGAAGTGGTTCCTATCCAACCTGGAAGCACCAACCTGATCGAGATCCAGGTAAGTTGACAGATCTACCTGATCCGCGAAGATCAAAACAATTTGAGAAAGACAGTCGATAGGAATGAGTAATTGAAGTGACCCAACCTGAAATATCTTTCCACACAAACGACTCAACTTGGTGCTAATTCCCACAATCGACCGGTCATAACCAACAAGCAGAAATGTCGAAAACCCTTCAACCTTGTGAGTAGTTTGTTTCACGAAGACACTGAAATATCTCGAGTATTGTACTGAGGCAGCCCTGTAAGCACAATCAGTTGAGGATGACCACAAAAAAGGAAATTCAGCGGGAGTCAGTTGAGTCTTCTATCGAAATTAAACTAGTATTGCAAATAAGACTGCTTCGTGAATAAACATCAGAAACTTGTGATGGAACTTCATCACGCATATAGTCCATTGATTAGACGGGCTTACTAGTCATCTGCCTGCGTATAAACTCTGTCAAACGGGTGCCTTACGTGGCATGATGCGTTTTTTTTGTGAAAACTGATACATTACTGGGCAATAAATCTTTTGGTTGTCTAAAGACTTTTTCGGTTGACTGGTAACTTGTTTGTGCCTTTATTTGATCGAATTTTTCGAAACCTGGAGGTGGCGTTAACCAAGCAACTGGAACAACGTCAGTGACGTCATCAAAGAAGCTAGGCAACGAATTGACGTTCTACTAGCTGCAGACATCTGACAAGGTTTTACGTCGGCTCTGAGGGCAAAACTTACTCCTGTGAATGCATCACAGGTCCCATCGACCAACTTGAAGACAAAAGTTAGCCTCGCCAAGAATGCGTCAGTTTACAAATTGATTATTGATTTTCCGTGACCAACTCCCCTATTGAAGGGTTGACTAGTCCCCCCGCTCAACTGAGCAGGCATTGAATCTTGTTGGTGCAGTTGTAGGTTGTTATCCTGCATCACAGGTCCCATCGACCAACTTGAAGACAAAAGTTAGCCTCGCCAAGAATGCGTCAGTTTACAACTTGATTATTGATTTTCCGTGACCAACCTCCCCACTGAAGGATTGACTAGTGCCCCGCTAAACTGAGCAGGGATTGAATCTTGTTGGTGCAGTGGTAGCTTGTTATCTGAGTTGTAATCTGAGCGCAATCATTCCAACGTCTATTTGTTACACCGTCAAACAAAATACTAGTCAGTTTTAATCAGA